TCCCTCCGCTCTTTTTGTTGTTGGGAAAGGAAAGAGGGGGCGTGGAGGAGCCGGCGAGAGGGAAATACCGATGGCAGCGAGATGCAGTTCTCCGCCGCAAGCAATGCAAGATTAGATCTCTAAATGCAGCAAAACACTCCCTGAAAACCAACAACCCCGCGGTGCAATCAGACATTTCACTGCCTTTCACTGCACACGGAGCGGGCTTCTACACAGGCGAGAGACTCTTTTTACTTCCCCCCACCCCTTCAGTCTCTTTTCCCCCTCCTACCCACCCTCTACTCCATCAGTCGCATCACAAGCAATGAGTGGCAAATAAGCGTTTTCTGTTTACGGTCCTGCTTTCCCAACGGCCACCTCCTTTTTCTACATTTTTTTTTTTTAAATTTTGGACTGATCGGGAGAGCCACCACTTCCCATACCTTTTTTATATATGCTTGGTAAGCCGGCGGATATTTAAAAAACAACACCACCACAACATAAAGCCACCGTTCGGATCCGTTTAAAGAAGAAGCTTTATTTTTTTTAAAAAAAAATTTTATTCTTCACCTCCTCCAAGCTGAAGTTGGCCAGCCCAAGTAACTGTGCGGGGATTTGTGTGGCCGCAGAAGCGCTTGATTTCAGGCTGCCGAGGCTGCTTTTCTCTCGCTCTGCCGCCCCTCCCTGCGAGCTACATGCTCCATTTGCTGCCCCGCATCCTGTGTCTCTGCAGATGCGTGAGAGCAACAGGTTCAGCAACTTAAAATAGAGGGGTGGGGAGCAGCCAAGCCGGGCGAGGCAAGAAGGCGGCGGCGGAGGAGGAGGAAAAAAAGGGGGCAGAGGGGGCCACCCGGGTGCTGCGGCAGGGGCCCCCCGCCCCTGGCTCGGGGATGTACCTTTCCATTTGTTGCTTCTTCTTCTGCTGGGCTCCCGCCCTGACGCTGAAGAACCTGAATTACTCGGCGAGGCGCTCTGCCGGCGCAGCGCCAAGTGCCAGCTCTCGCTCGAGGTCTTCGCCAACGACCAGGAGATCTGCATGATCAAGGTGGAGATCCAGGACCTGAACGACAACGCGCCCGCCTTCCCCTCCGACCAGGTGGACATGGACATCTCGGAGAACGCGGCGCCCGGCACGCGCTTCCCGCTCACCAGCGCCCACGACCCCGACGCCGGCGACAACGGGCTGCGCACCTACCTGCTCACCCGCTACGACTACGGCCTCTTCTCGCTCGACGTCAAGGCGCTGGGCGGCGGGACCG